GCTGTCCCTACATGTTCTTAAAGCCCATCGAAGTGACTACCAGGAAGATGAATATCTGCATTTCTTTATGCACACTGGAGACTAGGAATAGGATAGTGTTTTGGGTATCTCAGTCTCCGGCATTTCTCACAGTGCTCTTTTTTGCCTGCTGTTTTTGCAAGTTGCAATTCATGTTTTCTTCTGTGAAATGCTCTTTTTGACCTTCTCTGTAAACCAAAATGATGCACTAGCATGGATGATAAAGCACTTACACTTATCTGAATGTTATGAAAGTGTTGTGCAATGTTGTATAACCCATAAAAAGTAGTTGATAGGGGAGATTTCATGCTGCCCTTTCAGCTTACTTGAGCATAAACTTAAGTTTAAGTAAGCAGTGAAGCCATAAGCTGTTGCTTTAAAATCAGCAGTGGATTTGCCTACACAGCGATGTCTGTCTGGGTAGTCGGAGAAGGTAAATTCAGCATGCAGAATGACTCTGTGGCAACAAAACTGAGTATTCAGAGTGTGAACAGGGTGTCATAGCTTGCTCTAACTCCAAATGGAGCATGCCAGTGCAGACTGATGGCTTCCTGGGGGTGCACAGCAAGTAAAATCAGTAAAATGGCTTTTAATCCCTCTTAATCAGAAAGAGACTTTCATGCAAGTCAGTTTAATTCCATTCCTAAATGATATAAACAGCATTGTGTTAAGACCGTTTCTATATTGAATAAAAATGTTAGTAGAGTGTAACTAGTCCACTTAAAATCCACACCTGCTTTTAGTTCAGATCTTGCCAACTTGTGTTGACAAGACTTTGGGGTCTCATATCAGCATCTGAGGCCAAAAAACCTAAAACCCAAAACCAAACCCAACTTCAAATGAGCGTTTACATGCTGCCTGTAAAATCACTACTGCCACTGTCCCCTCATGATTCCTTTACTCACCAAAAACATTGCAGCTCCTAACATAGTGGACCAGTTTCAGTGAGAAATTCTCGGGATGATTATAATTTCTACTGGCAATACAAAACAGAAAAAGTTAAACTGTATCATTAACACACCTGAAGCATTAAAGGACAGCATCCAGAATTTCATTTCAATTTTTTCCTTTCTCCTTGCGAAGTTTTCCAATTTTATTTTGCTTTTTGTTTCTCACATGCACTCTGTATAGGTAATTTCCTCGAGGAGGACATCCTTTTTCAGAAGTAATGATAGTTCTCCGTGAGTTTTTTGCATGTACACGGAGTCTTGAGGAAGCCACTGTTCTGTTCAGCCCTTTCAAACTCCAGCTTTTCCAGCCTATCCGGCCTTGGTTTCATTATTCACTAGTAACACCTAAGATTAATGTAATTTTAATTAACTTTGTCTGGATTTAAGTGTTAACCACTCTGTTTACTGTTGCTAAACTAGATGCTGAGGACGAGAATAAATGGCTTTGGGTGTGTCTATACAGACATTTTGTTCTGATCTAATGCATTGACAGGACAAGAGGTTTTTGTACCCATCTAATTCAACATAGACCCAGCCTGGAAAAAATTGCAGAGGTATAAGAAGAGAAGATTAGCAGATGGGAAGAGATAAAAATTAAAAAGGAGAACCATCTTCTGTGATACTAGCCAAAATATCACCGCTGGCCAAAAAAAAAGAGCAGTTTAAATTCTCTAGCCACAAACCTGGGTCTTGGTTAATTTCTTTTAAATACTTTACCCTTTTTAAATTTTGTTTCCAGGTGGAACTGACTGTAAGTCCATTGCCAACTTTGACTGAGAGCGACCAGGTTTTATGTACGTTTGGTGAAACAGCCCATTACGCTCAGTTAAAAGAAGGGGTTATTATCTGTGATCCACCCGATACAATTCCTCCAACACCGAAAGGTCAAGGTAAAGAAATATTGCTACCCTCCATGTAAAACAAGAGGAAAGAACATAGCCTGCTGCTTCTAATGTGATGCTCTTACATGAGCTGCATACAAGTATACATACTCTTCCAGTCCCTTTCCCTAAATAGTCTATTGCTGAGCTTTGTCCCTTCAAACATATATGTAAAAAAAAAAGGTTCACTCAAACTTTTTCCACTGCTGTATTTACAAGCTGTAGTGTTCCCAGTGTTTCTACAAGGAGCCTGAAACAGGAGCTTGGCAGAGGCGTAGATACAGAGCCAGAGGGGTGTTATTCTATGTCCCAAACAAACAAAACCCAACTACTCTAATCTTCCCCTAATCACTCTGAGTTGTGGGGCCAGAAGAGCCACATATGTGCTTCAGATGTCAAGTTTTTCATCTCCACTGTCTTAGTTTTGCTCTAGTCAGCTGTAGTCCAGTGGCTTGTTATCTGGTCCATGTCACAAAGGCTGTCCTTTCTGTTGTAAAGCCTTCTGCTTCTTCTACTATGTGTCCTCCAGGCTCCGCAATAGTAAGTCCAATGGAAAAATATGTGATCATATAATTAAAGGCTGTATCATTGTTCTGAACCACTGATTATATGCTTAAGGTCTGTTCCCAGCCATAATTCTCGTGCTGTTTCCTAGATAGTGCTTTATGCATGCTTTATGCATAAACACAGGGAATAAAACTGGTTACACAACACTGTTTATTATGTATCAAGTTTAAAAAAACAAAAACAAAAACCAGGTGCTCTTGCAGCTTGCAGAGGTACCCCTGAGGACAACCCTACATGTATCACGATAACCCAATATGTATCACAACAGCCATGAACTGTCAGAGTGGTACTTGGAAGCATTTTTCAAGATAAGTTTCAATTCTCTTAAGGCTGAAAAAAGTGAAAATCCAGTTTTAGTTGCAGGAAGTTTTAAACTAGCTGGGGTATGTCGTGGTATCAGATTATGCTAAGTGTTAAAGCAGCACTCCGTTATTTAGGGCCAATTCACATTCCCTGAATATTTTGTAAAGCAGGACATAAAGCGACCGGGTTGATAAACATGACAGCTTGATGCCTTCCAGCATAAACTGTGAGACTAGAAGCCTGTCAGTGATGGCATTAGAGTAACCAAGTCACCTGGAAGTAATACACCTCTCTGAGTTGGTCACACAAGGATCCATCTGAAAGGGTGTTCAAAAGTAATATAAAGATGCTCAGAAGCTTGACAGACACTTCAGCAGAAGGCAGGCCATTATGAAGGCAGTGATTCCTGGCAGCATGTGACAAAAAGTCCTGAGCCATCCACTTACTGTTAAGAAACCCTATTGGGTTTGGAAAAGTCTGGGTTACTTTCGTTGTGGTCGGTTCCAAAGGGGATAGAACATTTCTAGAGAGGAAGGACGCTTTTTCGCAGTCCCATTGCTAGGAAATGCCCTGGCATTCCTACCAGTCTGGAGTATTCAAGGGGACCCAGCGCAGGCAAAGGTGACTTCCAGCCAAGCAGCTGATGGTCTTCCAAGAAACTGTTTAAGGAAAGCAGAGTTTGAAATTGCTCAATAGCTTGTGAAATAGCTTGTCACACAGGCTTAATGATTTCAACAAAAGGTATTTCAAACAGCTTCACTGGGGAAAGCACCGGTTTTCTGAAGAGAAATTTTCCACTCTTAGTTCAGTAATGATCCAGACGAGAAGTACACTTGTGGAGAAATCATGTATGGCAAACTGAAGATCGTAAGTGTCTGTGGTAACTTAGGCACTGCTGGGCATTAACCAAAAAGATCACTTGCTTTAATTCACCTGACAATGACAGTTTTAATCCATAGATGAAACAAGTAATTTTACATGCAGACATATTCATATCTAAGAAAATGTTTTATTTAAAATGACTGCTCTTGTGCCAGTTTTCATTTGTGTTCAGTTACCTCCTTATTCAGTTTTCCTTGTTGTTCTAGACTCTTTAAAATTCTAGCATGATGATAGCACCACTGAGAAACACTTCTGTAAAACAAAGCTTTTCTGTAATTTTGCTTCTTCCCTTTATCCCATCTCTGCTTTTCTTCTGACAACCATGCGCTGAAAATTTTGTAAAGCTTAAAAAGACAAAACAGAACTTATAGATCTAAAGTATAACAGGTCATGAGATCCAGGATGTCAATAGTATAGTTAAATATTTGCTTACATCCTGTAAAATAAATAAAAGTACTATCACTGTATCATACAGCTCAAGAGCTAAAGAATTCAACAACCACTTAGATAATCTTTTTCTTTTGTGATAGATCATGTTTCAGTTCCACTTCGGTTAACCTTTGGAAAGAACAAGATATTTTTTGCGTCACATACTTACCCTTTTTATGACTGTGAAGAAGCAATGAATCTTTTTGAAAATCAGCCGTAAGTATTTCAGCTTCTTAACATAGGTGTTCAGATCCTGTAGCATGGCGTTTCACGTAACTGGCAGCTGAGTTACTCAATCATTTCATAATTAAGCCTTTGGCACTCTCAAAATTTGCCGGTCCCAATCCTTTTTCTTACATTTTAATGGAGCTTAAAAACAATTGAAGGGCACCAGGTGAGCTGGTGCCATAAAACACATGGAATAGGAATATTCATGGCACGTATAATTAAAGGTCGGTTAATTGGGTTGCCATTTCTGTAGCTGCTAATGTATCTGCAGGTGAACTCTGTGGATATCTGCTTACCTACTTGTTCCCTCAGATGATAGATTGGTGCTTTGGGTCACGGTGCATTCAAATAGGACAGTCAAAGCTGATCTGCCCCCATCATCCACCCTGCTCGAGATGTTGCTCCCCCAGGGCAGGCGCAGCCAACCCAAACCTCGCTTTGTTCATCCTTATGTATGAAGATTGATCAAGATAATTTCCCATCCTCTCAGACTTGATCTCAAAGTTTGTGCAAGATGCTGTGGTTTTCTGATCCTTGCTCAAATATTTAAGGGAGAAAATAACTTCTTGGGGTTCTTGAACTGTTCCTACTGCGAAGTTTTCAGATTAATATAGCAAGGACACTATAACAGATTGATCTACCCTCCATGAATAAAGATGGAATTTCATTTACTTTTTTTGTCAACGGGGGGAAAAAGCCTGACAGTTTGTCATGACTATCATGTTATATTTGTAGATGCTATTCCTGTGCAAGCAATAGATGGAATTGCCAGTGGGACTGGAAGAGACATATCTGTGAAGAGTCCTCTTCAGTACAGGATGTGATTAAACAAAATATGGTAATGTTTAAAAATAAGATTATTGGGTTTTTATTAGAACACTTCAATATTTTCTTTGCTTTTTCTCTCATATCAGTCGGTTGAATTAGGGTTTTAAAAATGGTTCTAAAGTTACCTCCAGAAGTGTAAGATTTTTTTTTTTTTGTGACAGTGCGGGGGTGGGAATTTAAGGGTGTGATTGAGGAGGGGCAGTGAGACTGAATAACTCCTGAAAGGATATTTTTATTCCTTTTACTATTTTGCTTCAATGGGAGGAACAAGATTTCAAGGCTGGGAAGGATAATCACCCACAGCTTTGACATATGCTGCAGTCATTTTTAGCATGTCTAATTTGAAAGGGTGTAATCAAATCTGTCACTGTATTTTAAGCATGAAGTTCTTTAGAACAATCATTCCATTGTCCAAAGGCCATTGGAGCTTGTTGTGATAAGACTTTTTATTTGGAATAACATATAAAATGTTTCTCTCCCCAGGAAGAAGAATGCCCGCAGTTTCTAAATCCTAACCCTCCAATAATACCTATGGAGTACCGAACAACAGTGTATTTTGAGGGAAGACATCTAGCTTATTATGGGGTAAGCAGATTAATTCAAAACTAGCTGTCATTTGAATTCCCCTTAAACTGCAGCCACACCCCTAAAATAAAGCGTTAGTTTTTGTTCCTTGGAGATCCTGCTTGTAACTGTTATTAAAGAAGGAAAAGAGCTACACATTCAAGATTGATATAATCAAAGTCTTGAGTTATCACCAAGACAGAGCTGGACAAAACATTTTAATTACTAGATGTGGGGGTTTTTTAAAGAATGTAAATTGGACCTACTGAAACACTTGACAGTTATTTTTCGTCTAATTAAATGAGAGGAGATTTAGGAATTGTGAATGTTTCATATCTTTTTTCTAAGTAAATACTTGGCTTTTTTTTTTCTTCTAGAATGACACACTCGGTGTGCTTAATTCAGTTTTTGCTTTTCAAACAAAAAAATGCACTCAGAAATTAAAAGTTTCTTAGTTTGGATAAAACAATCTTTTGCCTTTGTGTGTGTGTGTGTGTGACCATCAAACCAGAAGATCAGGTACTTTCTCAGCTATAGCAAAGGCTTCTCTTTCTCTGTACTTGCTTCCAGAAAGTAAATTACAAAGCTTCTAAGAAGCCAGAGTTTGACTCCAAGCTTTTAATTGTTTTATAACTTAGACAATGCACAAAATGTTAGTGTTAGTTTGATAAAAACAAAGCTTAAAAAACACTTCTTTAGGTGATAGCTCAAGTATTGTTCTTAGTTTCTATTGTTTGTTTCTGTGTTGTCTTTGTGTAAATGGCAATTGATAGATACACTGGAGATTGCATCGATTGCTTTAACTACCAGCCATCTATCAAGGGAAAGCTTGCTCTTGTTTTTTGAGTTTTTTTTTTTTCCTTTGCCAAACTGAAGTACTGTATAGCTCAGAAAGTCCTTCTATCACCTCTGCTATACCTGCCAAGGGATGGAAAAGGGTAAACAGGTCTGAGAGTAACAATGTAAGAAGGGTATTAGGAGAAGGGTAAAAGCAACCCGTAAGCACTACAATCATATGAAGACCACCCTGTGTATCACTACACTATACGAATATCAATGCTATACAAACGTATGTTCAAAAATAAACATTTTTTCTTGAAGACCTTATGTAAACAAAGAAAAGCAATTTGGTGAACTTGGTCTGTTCTCCGAGATGCCAGGACTGGTCCCTGGTAGGATGTCTGGCTGGGTGCAAGATGTGGCACACAACACTTGTCTTAAAGGCCACAGCTCTCTTTGCTAAAAATAGAAAAGTATTCCAGAGAATTTACTTACATTTCTTTTGTTTAGCGTTGTGAGGAGCTGTTTTTCTGCACAAGAGTAGAATCTTTCCCTGCTCCCTTGATATAAGTGGAAGAGCCCATTTTCTCTCGAGAACAAATTCAGGTCAGATGTGTAATCTAGATGTGCTGCATTTGACTTCTAGAGGACCCTTTTCCTCCAAGGAGGAGAAACAGCAGCAGGAACCCAAAACCTCTTTGATCCAGTTTATCATTCTGTGAATAAGCACTTTAATCTTTCTGAACTACAAGTAGAGAAAAGGAAATGAAAAAGCTCCTGCCTTTTTTTTTTTTTTTTTTTTCCTGCCAGGTATCAATTACATTTAACAAAGGCAGACACATCCTGTGGATTGAATGCTTTGTCAAGGGTAGCAGTGTTTAACAGTTTGCCTACAGACCAGACCTAGTATGCATTTATTTAACTTGGAACTGTAAAGGTTTATGTCGAATTCAAGTCTCTCTAAGAAGTAAGATGAATGCACAGGCCCTAGGCTGGAAAGATGCTGGAGAGCAATGAGTGTCAAATGATGTCAGAACAACTTTTGTTAGGTGAGAGCCATGTGGGAATGTCATCTCTGTCATGGGAGCAGCCCCATAAATCCTGGTACGGAGGTGGATTTTTAAGCCAAAATAATAATGCCTTCAGTGCCAGGACTTGCATAGGCACACACAGTGAGTATACAGAGTATACACAGACCTCTAAGTGTATGTGAAAACAGACAAATAAGGTATGAAATAGTTGTAATCGTACAGGCACTCATGCTGTCTGAAGCAGTAACTTCGGTTACTGAAAGTTCATTTGAGTAAGGGCATAACTTACACTCAGCCTTTGGTAAACAAGGCAGGGTGGCTCAGGAGAAGCCATAGATAGATATTTTGTAGGGGTTGGCCCACAGCCCACAGGCTAAATAGCATGTGGCTTCTCATGTGGAATGATTTTGCCACAGGATAGGCTGGGCATTACAGTATGTTTTGGAGGTAGCAGTCATGCAGCTATGAGCACATTTAAGGTCTTTATTGATTAGAACGTTGGTATATAACCATTTTCCTTCTATTTCCCTTGCCTGAGTTCTTGCTTAGAAAAAGCTGATTAGGAAGAATGAATGTTCTTCTGTCACTTTGAACTACTGGCTCTATTATCTTGGCTTAATCTGTGCTTTGCTTTGAAGGGTGATGCACAACCTACCTAACCATGAGTAACTAAGTGCACTAGCCAATACCATGCATATAAGCATCTCTATTTCTAGGTAGAGGTTAGCAGAATCATGGAATCACAGAATCATTAAGGTCTTGGAAAAGACCTTTAAGATCATCAAGTCCAACCATCAACCCAACACCACCATGCCCACTAAACCATATCCTGAAGTGCCACGTCTACACATTTTTTGAACACTTCCAGAGATGGTGACTCCACCACCTCCCTGTGCAGCCTGTTCCAATGCTTGAACACTCTCTCAGTAAATAAATGTTTCTTAATATCTAGTCTAAACCTCCTCTGGCACAACTTCAGCCATTTCCTCTCCTCCTATCACTAGTTACTTGGGAGAAGAGACCAATACCCACCTATGTGTGGTGAAGCAGTGAAGGTTTGGGCTTACCTAGTGAGTAGGAGATGTGGACGGCTTCTAAAGCAGCTATTGCAGAACTGAAGGTGGAAGAATAAGCTCACACATTTTGTATGCACCTCTTAACTTGTGAACACTTACAGTACAATGAATAAATCTCCTCGTGAGGGCTTCTGCTGGAGGGAAATAGCCTAAAAGAGGACATGCTGTTGACTTCTTCTGTCCCTCCTTCCTCTGAAAGAATTTCAATAGGAAGAAGAAACAAATCCAAGCTGTCAATCATTCCCTTGGGAATAGCCTCATCCAGGACAAGTGGTTGAGAGGAAAGTTTAATACTGATCAGTTGTATTGCATGCAACTTCTGAGAGGCATTCTCCAGCTGAGTCCTTGAAAGATTGACACAGTAGAAGAGACAGATGTACCAGCATTAGGATAACCTTATTAGCCCTCCAATGACTTTCATTAAAATCAACTTCCCATTTGGATTTGTCTTTCCCATGTGTGTCTGATGTATAACCCACTTTCCAGTGTTTGCTGCATGTCACTTCTTGCACCCAGACTGCTGAATGTGAGCTCTGTGGCCTTCTGCTCGAGAGCCCGATATAGCAACTCCTGATTGCAGTTCGCTCCAGGTGGCAGCTGTTACGCACACCAAAGCTCCCCTCCTCTCCCAGCACCTTCTGTTGAGCATGTGGGAAGGCTTTACGCAGCAGCAGTGGAATTTGAACACTATTGAAAAATACATGATATATTGAAATGTAGAGTAGGGAAAATGAGGCAGCGTTTCTCAAAAAAAAGGCATGTAAGGTGCTTTAAAACTTGGAGTATGTAGACATTTTCTGTAAAGCAAAATGGGCTGTAAAACTTTCATGAAATGCTTTTCAGAGCTCAGTCAGTAGCTAAGTGTCGTGGTTTAGACCCAGCCAGCAACCAAGCACCACGCAGCCACTCACTCACTCCCCCTTCCCGGTGGGACAGGGGAGAAAATCGGAAAAGTGAGGAAACTCGTGGGTTGAGATAAAGACAGTTTAACAGGTAAAGCAAAAGCCGCGCACATGGGCAAAGCAAAACAAGGAATTCATTCACCTCTTCCCATGGGCAGGCAGGTTTCAGCCATCTCCAGGGAAGCAGGGCTGCATCACGCGTAATGGTTTCTTGGGAAGACAGGCGCCATCACACCGAACATCCCTCCACCCCTTCCTTCTTCTTTGTCCCAGCTTTATATACTGGGCATGATGTCATATGGTAGGGAATATCCCTCTGGCCAGCCTGGGTCAGCTGTCCCAGCTGTGTCCCCTCCCAGCTTTCCATGCACCCCCAGCCTTCTTGCTAGCAGGCCAGCACGAGAAGCTGGACTGTCCTTAAGTGCTTAGCAACAACTCAAAACATTCTGGCCAGCCTGGGTCAGCTGTCCCAGCTGTGTCCCCTCCCAGCTTTCCATGCACCCCCAGCCTTCTTGCTAGCAGGCCAGCACGAGAAGCTGGACTGTCCTTAAGTGCTTAGCAACAACCCAAAACATCAGCACGTTATCAACATTTTCTCATCCCAAATCCAAAACACAGCCTCACACTAGCTTCTGTGAAGAAAATTAACTCTATCCTGGCTGTAACCAGGATACTTAGTTTCTATATGCAGCTTCTGAGAAGGAAGAAGTAAAAGGTCTGTTCCCCTCTATAACATAAGCCCCCCAGAGACTGGATTCAGGCCCTTTGCCTGCTTAAAGCATATGTTCCTCGTCAGCCCCAAACCTTGGTGTGCTCTTGTGTCTGCTACCCAACCTCTCACAGTGAAGGTGCAATACAAAAAGTTTCCACTGCACTAATTAGATAAACCTAGTGAGCCATGAGTTACCAGTGATTCCAGCATTGAAGAAGTAGCTACAAATAAGTAGGTTAAGATCCTCATACATGAGTAGCACACAACTTACTAACCCTCAGAGCAGAAAAGAGGAATCAAGTAATCATTATTTTTTTGCCATGTACTCCAAGACTCAAGCAGTCTGGGCAAAAGCAGTAATTAGAACTAGTTCTTTACATCTACAGAAGGCATCAAAGTCAAGTTTTCATGAAGTTCAGCAAGGCCAATTGCAGGGTCCTGCACCTGGGTCAGGGCAACCCCCAATATCAATACAGACTGGGGCATGAATGGAGTGAGTAGCCCTGTGGAGAAGGACTTGGGGGTCCTGGTGGATGGAAGGTTGGATATGAGCCAGTAATGTGCGCTTGCAGCCCAGAAGGCCAACCGTATCCTGGGCTGCATCCAAAGCAGTGTGGCCAGCAGGTCAATGGAGGTGATTCTGCCCCTCTGCTCTGCTCTGGTGAGACCTCACCTGGAGTCCTGTGTCCAGCTCTGGAGCCCTCAGCACAGCAAAGACATGGAGCTGTCAGCAGGTCCAGAGGAGGGACACAAACATGATCAGAGGGATGGAACACCTCTCCTCTGAGGACAGGCTGAGAGAGCTGGGGTTGTTCCGCCTGGAGAAGAGAAGACTCCAGGGAGACCTTATTGCAGCCTTCCAGTACTTCAAGGGGACTTATAAGAAAGATGGGGACAGACTTTTTACCATGGCCTGTAGTTACAGGACAAGGGACAACAGTTTTAAACTGAAAGAGGGTAGGTTTAGATAAGATATAAGAAAGAAATCTTTTATGATGAGGGTGATGAGACACTGGAACGGGTTGCTCAGAGAAGTTGTGGATGCCTCATCACTGCAAGTGTCCTAGGTCAGGTTGGATGGGGTTCTGAGAAATCTGATCTAGTGAAAGGTGTCCCTGCCCATGTCAGAGGGGTTGGGACTAGATGATCTTTGAAGGTCCTTTCCAACCCAAGCCATTCTCTGATTCTATAAAGGTGAAAGGTGATCTTGTCCCCCAGTGGGCTCTGATTTCATAAGTATTTACCAACAATATTGTCTGAAAATGTTCTTAATACTTGCTTCTTTCTCTGCTTCTTCTGGCAAAGCTGGTATGTGCTGCAGTGCCTAGGGAGAAGGTAGGAAGAAGAAGGTATCTAGGAGGCAGCAATACTCTTAAGCTGGTGTTGCCATCAAAGACTGTCCTGTGAAAACACAGCTGGAGTCATGGTGAGGCAGGAGAAACAAAGCCAGCAAGGTCTGAGAGATGTTCATTCCAGTTTCCCATGTAATTCTTACATTCCTGATCTGCCCAGGGTCCCTGCAGACAAAACCTTAAAGGGCAGAACTCACACAGCTCTGTTAATAACACATCTGATGTGTGAAGCCATCCGGTATTCACATCTCTTGACTTTCCCTTATTGCTCCGTAAAACAGAGTGCTAGATATGTTCTTGCTTTATTTGTACTGCTTGGTGCTTCCACCTTTAACGAACGTTGGAGGGGTGCAGCAAAGCAGCAGATTGCGCTGGCTCAGTGTTTCATTAGCTTTGTTTTCAGGAGATTACTTTAGCTGGTTAGCCTTCTCCATTGGTTCTTACTACTTCCAGTGCTGAACAGGATATTGCCTGGTGATGTTTTATTATGCTTGGTGATGCTGTACAAATTCTAAGCTGAACTTTTCTCTTCCATAGGATAAAAAATTTGCAGTTGGAAACAGTCAGTTTGAATTCGAAGCTCCTGTTTATGAATCAGATGAAGGAAAATTTTCATTCATGAGTGAAGAGGTAAATGCAAAAATATGATTCACCTACCAAACATCTTTAGTTCTTATAGTCCTGTTCCATTATCCACATGTGTCCAGAAATATACAGGTAATTTTGGTTTTCCTCAAAGTCACCTCTGATGGAGATTCTCCTTTGGCAGCAGCAGTCAAAGGCAGCAGCTTTGGCTTAGAGCTCCTGGGGTGTCCCCTGAAAGCATTCTCTCTCTCTCCTTGATTTGTCTATCTGTGCAATCCACAGGTTCACTGAGCTGTCCCTGGGGGAATTTGGGACCATTACTCTCTTATTCTTCACTTTTTATGTAATCTGGTGAAATCATTGAGGATAAACGATGAAAATTTCAGAGCTCTCCCTCTCCACACTCCAATTCATTAACTTTCACATTGTACATCTGTAAAATGTTGTTGTTTGGCTACTTACTAGCTATGCTTCTTTCACTTTGGTTTATTTTACAGAGAAAGGAAATAATATTAAAAAAAATAGTTTATTTTCCAAGCTCAAAGTTGGACTCAGAAATATTAGGCTGACTGTAACCTTTATGTCTTATAAGCTTACTAACAGAGTACTTTTGAGAACTAATTAGCATTTATGCAGCATTTGAGCTTAGCACAAATCTTTTGTTTTATAAAGCTATTGTATTTTTCTTTGCTCTTTTTCTTTCCCACCGGTTGTTATTGCTGCTGTCTTTCAACGTGAGCAGAAGCTCATGTCTTGGAGCATGTGAACCTTGTGCTTTGGCTATAATGAGGGGGTTGCACTACAAAAGATGCAAGAGATTTCCCCTCCATGCGGCGCGAGTCTGCCGTGTCCACAGAAGTAATGGGGCCAGATGGTGTGGGAAGGGAGAACTCAGCAGGGTCAGCAGCTATACTTACTGAATCTGAACAGCACCTTTGCTACTTGGATACTTATTACCAAATGTAAATTAAATTAATGAAAAGCGGGTATTCAGATACTGCTGTCCCTTGATACTTGAAAATTCTGGTTGTGAGGGATTAGGTTCATTAAAACATTTTTCTATAAATGTGTTTGGCCAAGATGACAAAAAGACCATAAGGTTTGGAATAGTTTCTAAAACCTTCTCAGCTCTGATTATCAAGAATCATAGAAAACGCATGAAATTAACCTTGTGAAATGTAGGTATAAATATCTCTATTGTGTCATCTTTTCCAGTTCTCCTATAGTGCAAATGAGACCCTACGACTTAACTTATCCATAAGAACAGATACGGTCAAGATTGACAGCAAACTGATGGGTAAGGATGAAAAATGGGATTAAAGGCAGGTTAAGTACAGTAAACAGAAATCTATTCCTTCATAATTTGGAGCCATGTGAATAAGAATGTTACCTTTGTAGGTTTTACTGATTTGGGTGTAGCAATTAAATCTGACAGATCAAAACTTATTAATACTAAACTCATGAATTAAACATCAGTGTTGTATATATTAAAAGCCATTTTAAATATGCTACCATTATTTTCAAGTTTGCTTTTGCTCTGAAGGGCAATCCTAATAGCAAAGCTACACAGTTCAAACAAATCAAACTTAAGTAGTTTGATTCTTTTTTTTCAATGGCTATTTCCCTTCCCCAATGAACTTTCCCCCTCCAACAGCAGAAAGGGGATCCTTCTCATTGCCGCTCGTATGGACTTCACAGAAAATCTCAACTTTCAGCTTTGTCTCAGCTCAGACACGTTCTGCAGTCATTACATCTACTGGTGATCAGCAATACAGAGACATTCAGCGTGCCTTCAGCTGATTACTTCATTCATTTATTTCTGTGGCAACAAAAAGTATATTAAGTGTTTTATAGTACAAAGACTTGGTCTCTGATATAAATCCCTTTACAAATATAAAATTCTTCGTTTCTTTCAACATACAACAATGAAACAATTATGTTTGTGAGCCTAGTCCTGAGCTGAGGTGAGGAAGCTCCATCAAAATCAGTGGAACAGTATCTGGGAGCTGGGACCTACCTTACCCTCCTTTGGACTGAAGTTTAAGACATAGTGTTGCAAAAACTGCAAGGCATCGCACTTGTTACTCGCAGGAAAACTAATACTGCCCGCAAGTAATATACCCTGCAGATTAAATCCTTGGACCATATTTTTCCATCTGTACAATATTTAAATTTATTCCCTTTCTTATTGTCAGCATAGAAGTATGTTTTTAGAAGATATTGCCTATGGCTCTGTGTGCAGTGTTGAAAGCACTTAAAAGAACACCTGGCATGTTGATGTTACAGAGAGGTCATATTAAAATCTTACACTGTCTTAATTTTCATTCCAAAAGCTGTGGTGTTTAAAACTGCAGAATTTTGATCAAATATTCCCAAAATCTTTTTTCTATGGGAAAAACATAGAAAAAAAGTAGTAGCTAAATTATTGAAGAAATGTTATCAGATTGAAACCTAGAACACTTGCAAGATGGGAATTGAAAAATTATCAACAAATGTCTCTTTTTATTGTAAAATAGATTTTTTTAATCCAAATTCTGTCCTGCTTTTAAATTCCCTTGCCATATGAAATCTGAGGCATAATGTTTTTTACGCATCTTGAAAAGAATTGGCTTTAGGTATATGGTTGCTGCTGAGAAGCACCTTTGAACCTGCCAGTGAAAGAACCCTTTCTGTGTATAACACTTAGTGAATACTAAGTTACGGTAGCATTTTCACATCTCAAGCCATCAGGGGTTCTGAACAGTAGGAAATCCAATATATCCCTTTTATCCTTTGTCCTTTTTATCAATGATTTCACAGTTGGTATCTCAAGGTGATGGATAAGAGTCTGAATCTAATGAGTGGCTTGCTGCTGGTACATTTAATGAGCTGATCAGTGAGCAGGGGGAGTGTTTAATGCTTTAAGGCCATAGCTTTTGCCGCAACTGAATGTGAGGGACAGCAAGACATTGCAGCGCTGACATTGTTTACGGAGGGATGGGTTGAAAATCCTTGTCCAGCCGATGCAGGATAACAAAGTAATTCAGTAAGCGTATTCCCGTGCCGTACCAGGTAGCCACGTGGCGGTGTGGGTGGGTAACGCAGGGTTTAGGAAGGCAAGGGGAAGATTTGTTTAACAATATTACTCGCTCAAGTCCCAGTAGCAACCTTTCAGCTTAAGAAAGCAATCTGGTTCCTCCTGCAAAAGCAATTCACAGCGTAGATGAGAGGAAAGTTTTCCTTGCTGCTGCCCGCACCGTCTCTTCTGCTTATAAAAGCAAACAGCAACGTACCAGGGCTGCCAGTCTGGTGCTTTTCCCCAGCCCTACATTCACATCCAACATACAGAGTGAATAGTTAACACACAAACTGTTGAAAATATTGCTTGGGTTATCCTTGCTGCTCAGTGACTCCTGTATTGATGTGCTGAGCATATGAAGCAAATGATGCTACTCCCGCTTTGCGCTCATCGATTCCTTGAGAATTCAAGGTAGGGGTTGAATCAAATGGATGCTCTTTCTCATTGATTCAGTGTTACAAATGCCACAGTCCCCTGGCTTTGCATACGTCTCCAATGGTGTCTTGACTGAGTTTGTGCTAGGAAAGCTGCTTGAAATCAAGTGTATATGCCAACTAGATATAAGAAGCGTTAAAACCAGGCTTCTTCATTGTAAGGGAAAGAATAAAACCATGTTATTCTATTAAAGACTAGCTGTGAAACTGAATGCCGAGGTTTTTAAATATGCATCATATAGAGAAAAACTGCCCTTACAAGGTTGTATGCTCTCCTGCAAGTGGCAGAGAGGCTGTAGCCAAGCTTTGGGCATCTGTAATCTTTTTCATGCCTAGCAGGGCAATAAGGGCACTGCTGAAAGATAATGGAGAACCAGCATTCTCATTTTACTTTTTCATTTCAGTAGAAAACTGGCATGGTGGCCTCTTGGAATTATATTTTAAAAGCTACTGCTGCTGCTCTTATCTAGGAAGGTATCAAGTGCATTGAAATGCTAGTGACTGGAGGGTCATTTCGCCGGTGTCCTTCCTAGAGTCCTGCTCCTCTGAGAATAAAAGCTTTCTTTAAATAGACGTTTTTGATGGCCTTTACCATACACAGTCTCAAAGGGATTTATCCTGGTCTCTCTTACCTACATCTGATCACTTCTATTTACTTTGCTTTGCTTCCTGCATCTTTAAGGATGAATTTCCTTTGAAAAAAACCTAGTGTCACTAAGGGTACCATTTCTTGAGACTTAATGAGCACATAAAACAGTTCATCGCTACTGGAAAGGGGAGATGGTGAGTCTCTGTCTTGTACTCCCCACTCCCATCTGTGAGCGCATTTAACTCTTGAAAGAGCACAGGAGGAAACCTGGATAGTTTCTGCTGTTCTGGTAAGTTAAGCTGATTTACAAGAAGACTCAACAAGTGCCAGAGCCTTGCTGGCAGAGGGTGAAAGGGAGCGTGACCAGAAAAAAAGAGCAGCAA